TAAACAATGTGTGCACTGGATGGAAAAATGACAAATGCATCCTGCAAGGTTGGATGGTGGGTGCAGGTGGGCGGGGATTGGGGCATGGCTGAGAGCAGTGACTGCTTTGTTGTGACATCACAAAGTTCCAGAAGTCCTGACGGCTGGTTTTAAGGCTCAGTTTCTGAATACAGGCTGTGTGCATTTCTCTGTGGACTGAGGCTTTGATACTTTCACAGTATTAATATAGACTGTATAGTATTATAGACCTGATCTATAATCAAACCAGAATTACCTCCTCGTGGTTGTCTGCCTATTCCACTCAGTCTAGTTCAAGGTTTCATCCCTGTTTATCCAGAATCATATAAAATATTAACCTTTTTTTTATTATTTTGAAGTCTTGAGTAAGGAGGAATAAAAAGACATGAACATCTACGTGTATCCAATATGGACCTTAATGTCATCTCAAACATGATCTCCTTGCTTTTGTTTCCCTCTGGCTGTTACCATGGTCAGGTTATTAGCACTTTGGTCGACTCTGCTTGTTTTAAATGTGCTTTATAAATAAAATTGATTTGACTTGAAAAAAGCTTCCACTGTGTCATGTGTTATTGTAACAAACCATTTCCTCCTGCACGTCACAGTCTTCAGGTCAAGAAAAGTTTATTTGTAATAAAGTGGGTAAAATATTGTTCTCTGTGTAAACAGGCTGTGGTCTCTCTCTCTCTCTGTCTCTCCCTCTCTCTCTCTCTCTCTCTCTCGTGTGGCTCTCATTTAGAAACGTCCAAGGTCTTCAGTGTGATGGTGTCAATCCACATTCCATAGACCAAGTTGATGGCGTCTACTCTCTTGACAGAGAACTGATAGTACCTGTCAGAGATCAGGTCGTTCACCTGTATGTTGTACGACCGACTCATGCATTTGGAGAACTGCCCGTGGTCGTTGATGGTTGGATGAATGCTCTTCACATGGATCTCAAACTGTTGGTTTGGCTCCTTAGGCTGTTCACCTGTGACCTCCCAATACAGGTACACAGAGGTGGACGTCACACGCGTCCTGAACCTGTCAAATATAACCGGCATTTTCATGGCTACTGTTACGCTGAGCTGTGGGACGGGAAAGTTTCCTGTGTTGGGGATAAGCTGGTTGTGAAGGTTCAGTGGGCCCAGAGTCCGGGTCATCCTTCTTTCAAAGTCCCTGAGGTCCTGGTGGGTCTGCTGGAGCTTCTGCTGCATGGAGGCTGCTGTGGTAGCATCCACCAAACCCTGGTTGTACTTAACAATGAAGTCCTCCAGCTCCCTGCCGCCTCTCATGATCTCTTGGTGAAGCATTTCCAGGAACGTGAGGAGGAGCTTCACCTGGGTTTTGGCCATCGTCATGGCGCCCTGCAGCCTCTGCTGGTCTATCAAGGACCACACGGTGCTGTCAGACAGATGTAATGTGTGCTGCTGCTGCTGCTGGTCTGCGCTCGGCAACAAGTCCTCACGCTGGATCTCCAGGTAATACGAGCCCCTGTGCATGAGCTGCAGCTCCTTCTGCATCACCTGCAACACAGCACAGGTCCGTCAGTCTATAGGTGCTCTGCTGGGGGCTCCACCCTCACCTCACAGTCCTCACCCCTCATCCTCACAACCTCACCCCTAACAGTCCTCACCCCTTATCCTCACCCTAACAGTCCTCACCCCTCACAGTCCTCACCCTCACAGTCCTCCCCCCTCATCCTCACCCTCACAAACCTCACCCCTCAGACAGCATATTAATCCTTAAGTGAAGGTGTGTCACTAACTGTAGTCAGGTTGAAGCTGGGTGGGGCTGCACTGGGAATGGCAGGGATAAAGTGAACCTGAAGAGGAGCAGCAGGAGAGTGAGGAAGCTGTCAATCAGGACAGTCTGGACACGATCACAGCTCTGATCAGGAAAACTGAAAACACCTGATGTTTTCCTAAAGTCTTGTAGGAACCAGAAGGATTTTATTGGCCCCCTGATTCATGCAGTGAAATGACACTGTAAATCACAGGCTGTATTATTAATGTCAAGATGACACCCTGACTGTTCAAATGGGAGTGAAGCAACATACTTTGTCTTTTCTTGTTTTATTGTGTTTTTTTTCAGCTGTGTGTGAGCTGAGTGTTCACACTTTATATTCTAATGCAGCTCATGTGGGCTCTGATGATTCAGAGGAAATGGCACCGAATGTAATTTACAATGTGATGATACAAGTCCAATAACATGTGGTAATAAATGATTTTGCATTATGATTCACTTACCATGACGGAGTTGTCACTGAGTCTGGTGCAAAACAGCTGGAGGATCTGGTCACGAATGTCTGGGGAGATGTCTGTCTGTCCCCTGACCTCCTGAGCTCCACATCCACCTGAGCCAGGACAGTCAGGCTTGACTTCATCCATACTGACTGTAGCATTCATAGCTGTGAAGGTAAGCTAACACACAGTTTGTCATGAGTCACTTAAAGTGAAAGTGATTATGGGAAAAATGAATTTTGCATTATTGTCGTATGAATTAAATAAATGACCCTGTTTTGTTTTTGTATCACATTATGTGATGATTATTTTACTGCACATCACAACCTGAGACGTTACTTCCACGACTGAATGTCGACCAGTGCAGGGAAATAAAAATTATAACCAATAAAATCATCACAGATTATAAGTGTGTCTATAATCTAGCTGCTCACTATAACCACTTCAAAATCCAAACCCAGCAGTCAATCACAGTGATCAGTCAGCACACTTGTCCACATCTGTCGACTACAGCACCTCAAACTGAACTCTCTTCATCCTCTCACACAAGGAAATATACATACATTTTGTGGACAACTATTCAAGAGTCAAGAGGATGGTGGAGGTCACAGGATGAGCACAAGGAGAGGTCCTAACATTAAGCTCGCAGAAGCAGCTAATGATTGTAGACTGTATTATCATATGATGTGCATGTGCTTTTATCATAGCAGTAACAGTGACAAACTTAACCATGAACCCAACAAGTTAATGCTCAGTCACTGTCTGTGTAAATCACATCAGTAGAATTAAGATGAATACACATTACCCTATATTTTATTAGTTAGTTAATGCTAGTTAAAACCTGAAATTATCTACCAACCATAAACTAAACAAGACTCAGCTTCATATTTCATTCATACAACAGTAATTAATCCTACCTGTTTCCTCTGTTCTTCTTCTGTTGTGCAGTGCAGCTTTCTGCTGTCTAGTTTTATAGTGACTCCTGTTTATAGGTAAACTTGTTCATCTGCATGGTTACAGTTAACTTCCATGGTTACCATGGTGACAGAATGGTAGCAGCAGCCTGCAGCATCTTCAGGTTCTCTCAGACAGTGTTACTGTGGGTGGTGGATGTTCATATCACTGATACTATTCAGCACTCTCAAACTCTACACTGAAAGTCACAGGCTGTGTCCAAAATCACTCACTACTGCTATAGTCCACTATATAGCGAGTTTGCCATTTTGTAGTGATGTCTGTATGTATAGTGAGAATTATTATACCTTATAAAGTGTTGCACAATGCATCATGAAAAGTGGTGTACAACCAGAGAGAGCAGAGAAAGGAGGCGGCTCACTTTAAATTATTTCCTGTTTCTGTGTCACGTGGGTTTCTCCACCTCCCCGCCCCTTTCGGAGACCAGCAGCAGCTCTGAGTCAGTCCACTCCGATGGGAGAAGTGAATGTGATCACAGATTATGATTTTTTCTCCCCATAGTCACAAAACTAAATATTGGATCTTCAGAACAGATCAGGAGAAAATTAACTTAATACAAGACTCTCTGCAACAAACTCTCCCGAGATCACAACCCAGATCTCTCTTCTCTCTGTTGGTTCTGGTCTACTTTCACTGCTGCAGTAAATTTGCTGTCACTTTCCAACCTCAAAAGTTTATAGGAACCTATATCTGCAACCATGAATGAGTTAAAACTGAAATAAAACTTGTTTCTTTGCTCAATAACACTATTATTGTTATTATTATTGAACAGTTTTTGGAGGGAAAGCCGAGAGTATTAGACTGATACAGGGGCGGATGTAGAGGTGGCAGAAGTATCAGCTATCAGTACTATCAGCACAGCAGAAAATGAGTCATGTCTGTCGATCTGAACAAATACTTAAACAGATATACCTGTGTCACCTCTGACCATCCTAGTGTGGCTGTGATGGATCTCCATAAAAAAGAGGAGTCAGTATCTCATGTACACCACTGAGCCAAAACATTATGGCCTCTCAGAATGAAGTGAATAACACTGATTATTGTGACAGAGTGGGTTCTTATAGTCACAGTGTCAGATGTGGGAGAATTGGGCAGGTGAAACGACCTGAGCAACTCTGACAAGGGCCAGATAGGTGATTGGACCAGAGCATCTCAGCAGTGGTGAGTGCTTACTGACAGGACACTGGGGTCATGGTGTTGGAGGGGAATCATCTACAGATGCTGCACCTTGTAAATTGTAACTTTAAACCCTTTACTGCAAGTAAATGTATGACTGATGTTGTAGTCAACTATTGAGAAAGGTAAATAGGCTGAAAAGGAGGGAGGATGGGATTGTGTATTAATTCAGATCAGCGATTCTGAGGAAATGAGTCAGGTTTAAGTCATTGTTATTCCCTTTGGCTGTGGGTGATTGGAAAACCACTTTCTTGTGAAGACTATGAGTTCTGGGCTCTGGGTTAGGGTTAGGCTGTCAGTTCTTCTGCTTCAGACATGGCCACTCTGGCAGCCTGATGGTTTTTTATAGGTACAAAAATACAAGTTGTGTTTTGTTTTTTTCGAGTACAATGCACCAAATTATCAGTAGGTGGATGTTATGGAGACCAGGACACTGGAGAGAAGGTGTATATTAATGTCACATGTTTTTACCATGATGAGTTAATTTTATTCCTTTTACAGGTTCAGGCTTCTAAATTCACTAAATCAGGAGACAGTTCCCACCACCATGAAAAATCATCATCACCATGAAGAGACTTCAAAGAGTCGTCTGTGTGGGTTACTCTGACAGACAGACCAGATCTATAATGTAACCTTCTGACGTAGTAACAGACATAACTTTTATCTAGTTCGCAAGAAAAACTTTATTGTCCATCATTCATTTCAAAGACAGATATTAAATACACAAACACTGACATGTACACAAAAATGTAGTCAGGCAGACTGAGGCCCATGTGTTCCACTGATAAATTATAATAAATAATAAATTAATACAATAAGAAATAAAATAATCAGAAAACATAAAGTGATGATCACACAGCAGCATAATGAGAACAGAGCAATGTTTCACATACATAAATACAGTATTTTATAGTTTTTCACATTATTGTCTTCTGTTTCTGAGTCTGAGTTAGAACATACCCTGATACAGAGTCTAGGTACAGAAAAAGGCCTGAGTGAATCATGATCTCATGTCCTCACTTTTGAGGTAGACATAGGGGATCCAGGAGTACCTCCAACTGCTGGGGTCATGGTCCTCCATCTGCTCCTCTGCCTCCTCTTCTTCACTGGACACTTCCACTTCATATTCCTCTGAGCCTTCTTTCACAGTGCTGCTCTCCCTCAGATTAATTTTTTCTTGGATGTCTGCCTCTGTTCTCAGAAGACTCATGTGAAACAGGCAGCACACCCTCAGCCGCTTGGTCGGGTGGATGTGTCTGATCATCGCTCGCTTCTTGGAGCACACACTACAAACCACGAAGCCGCATTTTCTGCAGTGGTGTCGATGCTGGGTCATGGTGAACTTATCAGAGCAGCGCATGCAGACTGCTGAGGCCTGGCTAGGGATCCAGGTGACGGGGAAGGTGGACTTAGATCTGTGGCCGCCGTTCTGCAGCAGTTTGGACTGGCATTCCTCTATGTGCTCTATCCAAGCTTGCTTCTCCTCGTAGGAGGCAGCTGCCACGTGGAAGGACTTGTGTGGTGTGTGGATCAACCACTGGTTCCTCACTCTCACATCATCCTCCAGGTCCTCCAGCTGGATGTCCTCTAAAATGATGAAACAACTGTGAGTTCAAATGAGGAAACATGGCTACAGACCCTGGGAGGGTCAACAAGAAAACTTTTAAACACAGCCTGATTTGGAAAGACTACAGACAGTCTGTGTCTCAGATTGTCTTTTTATTGGTGTTGGAGTTGTACCAGACTTTATCAAGTCATCTGAACAATTTAGCTGCAAACTAAAGCACAGCTGTGATTAGAGCATCCTGACCTGCTCACAGTGTGAACCTGCTGCTCACCTAGATGGATGATCTGCTGGTTCTTGTGCCAGAAGCCTCTCAGGATGATGCTGCCGTACACAAGCACGTCGTTAAAGAGGAAGAAGACTTTTTGCTTTGGCCCACGGCGGCACTGCTTCATCAACCTGCCCTCTCCGATCAGAACCCGGCCCGGCTGGGACAGGGGCTTCCCCAGTGGTCTAAATGAGTGCTCAACAGCATGGATCCGCTCCCAGTTTTCCTGAGCAAACATTAGCTGGTCTACCATGGCGCCAGTAGGTTCCTGTTTTCAGTGCTGTAGTCTGAGTGTAAGTGTGAGATGTTGTCATGTGCTGAGCTCGTCTCTCTATTGAAATGAGCAGCCAAGCAGAGTTTTAATCTTAAACCCTTTGCTCTCGCTGACGTAATGGAAATTTTCAAAGTAAATTCAGACAAACACATTCAGCAGGAAGTGAGTTGAAATCAGATAAAGTGACACAAGACATTCTGAGGAAGGAGAAGTCATTTTCTACAGACAGTTGACACATAAGTCATGTCTATTTTCTGTGAATGTATCTGACTGTCTGGAGAGAGATGAGTGAATGTACTACATCACTTTAATTCCAGATAAAAGATGCAGCAAAGACGAAAACTACATGAGATAACCTTTATTTATTTGGATGACAGAAAATGAGAAATTAAAAAAACAAATCAGTAAAAGTGGAGGGTGAAATCTTTTCCACTGTTAGCAGAGACTGTGGATACAGTTAGGCTGACCTGACAATAACTCATGTTTCATTGATGCTTTACTGTCAGACAGGATGAGCAGCTGGAGTGAAAACAGGCTCCCACACACTCATCTAGACGGTCTGCTGCTTTGATGCAATGTCTCAAAACTTTTCTTCAATCCAACTGAGTGTGCATCTTATGTTTTGTTCATTTATTTTTATTGACCTAAGGACAACAACAGCACAAAAACCTTAACTTAAATGACATAAGTATGAGGTCTAATATGAAAACAGCAAAAATGTTCATAAATAAAATTCCTTTAAAAAATAAGGAGAGAAAGAAAAGGTACAGGGTTACATAAATATACACACTGAATGTGCAGACTAAGCACGAGCAGCACAGATCAGCAGAGTGACATGAGCAGGAAGAGCCTTTTTTCCACTTTGTCCTTGAGAAAAATTGAAAGCTGCGTCAAGTGACTTTTTGGCCACTTTGGAGCTGTGGAAGAAACTAATAAATACACAACATACAGTATAACAATGGTTTATCACTACTTCATTCACACTGTTACCTGCATAATAAGCATGTTCATGCTTCAATGACCAGTAAATTCTGATGAGTCATCATCGTTTTTGCAGGTGAAAATACACCTGTATTTCCAGGCTCTCGGAGGGCCCTCAGTGTCATTACTGGGTAGAGACACAGACACATTGGTTTCATCTGATTCATTACATCTGTTGTTTTTGCACAGGTGTAAACTGCGCTGAGGTACAAAGTACAATATTTCAGATTCAGGTAAACTAGAGTCAGATGAAACAGGCACCTCTGAAAATGCTGCAGCTTTAATTCAAATTCAGTTTTAAGTGTCAGAGTTTTGAGATTTCTGTCTCCACCTCAGTATAATGAGGAGAAAAGCAATTTTGTAATTTGGGTGGAATGACCAAGAGCAGAGAGGCCACAGTGTCTCTGAGTGAAGTCCCAAAACACACATAAGAAACACATCTTATTTTTCACTATTGCAAAAACACAGTTCCTGAAACTAAGGCCCTGTTTGTCAGAGCTCCACACACACAAACCAAAACCATTTACACAAAATACAAAACATGTTACATCGCTTGCAAAAGCAAGCACTACATCGAAAACTAAATAAACTCTTAAATAAATGATACTTTAGCTTCCAAACTTTACACACAAACACCAGATATATAGATCTTTCCACTACCAACTGCACACGACTGTGCTACATCTAAAACAGTTTTCACATTTCTACTTTTCTAGTGATATATGTTAAGTATTGTAGCAGGATGAGCATTTTCCCTTCCGCTCTACTCCTGGTGTGGTTCCGCCCCAGAGTATATAAGAGGGAGGGATCCGTAGTGCTGCCCTCTCTCTGGCAGCTGGTGCACACTTCCCCTTTCCGGGTTACCTGGTCTCCGGTGCTGCAGACGCGCTGCACTCCTCTCTCCTCCGCTGTTGCGCATTGTTATATCCGACAGCGCAGACGCTGGCAGTGCCCAAAATATTTGTTGGCTCCCTCTCTCCCTCTCCTCCTCTTGGTGCTTCAACCACAACGCTGACGGGATAGGCCGAAGGCTCGGCACGTAGCCAGCACGAGCCAAGCCGCTCTGCCCTCGGGACCGCTGCTGTTTTGTGGGGTTTCAATGTGCTGCCGTGTGGCGCCTTGAAATCCCTGTGCCTTTGCTCTGCTGATGAAGATCCAATAAGTTGTTTGTTTTAAAGTTGCCCTGTGCTGCTTGAGTTACACTACTCGCAACTTCTCTTTTAGTGTGCCTGTAGCGAACAGGAGGGGGATAGTGAGTGGGATTTTCTTTGTTTAATAATTTTGGGGTTATTTTGATTGTCTAATTGTTTGTCTGAATCATTATTTTGATATCTGTTATATCTTGAGTATTTTTTTTTTGTTGAAATATTGTTTGGTTTTGTTAGTATATTTGTGTGCTGACCTTTTTTTGGTTGTTTTGTTTTAGTTAGTGGGTCGGCCACAGTAGTTTTCTTTAATTCTTATTTTTCTTTGTTCTTCATTTTTCTATGGTTTCATGCTAACGGTTCCTCTCTGTTTGCTTACTTCCAGGTGCTGAGGGCCTCACTGGTGACCTGCCCCTCTATTTTGGTGATGGTGTCCTATCGTGTGTAGTGTCCTTTCACTCCTTTTTGGCTTTGCCCTCGTGTGTGTGTGTTTAGTGTTTAACATGTGGGTTGTGGTGCTCTCCTTTAGTTGACGCCTTCACTCCCCTTCTCCTCACCTTAACCATAGTGGCCTCAGCCCTGGAAGAAGCTCTGTTCTTATCCCAGTATTAAGGAAAAATACTTCATTTTTATGGTAAATGCCCACTGTTCTTAATATTTATGAAATAAACTCCTGTATATTTTTTTTTGATCGGAAACACGTCTCCTGCCTGTTCAGTAAAGCAAACTTGTGTTGTCCTTGGTTTAGAATATTTAGTTTATTGCTTTATTCACACATTTACTTTTTTTTTTTTTTTTTTTCTCTCCTCAGGGTTAAACCCTGGGGTGGTGTTGTTGGTTTTGGTTATTTGTTTGATTTGAGTTAACTATAATTCAAGGACTCCCTCGCTCGCCACAGTATAAAAACACTATTACAGTACTGTATGTTTTTGATATTTCTCATTTGTAGCAAGCTGTAAATATGAACACAAACCCAATGGGGAAACAAAATCTCTTTAATCTCAATAGTGAACTGAAGATGACATGAACACACTGTACTGTAAAATACAGTAGGCCTATACAGTATTACAGATGTCTATCCTGTCTCTGATGTCATCTGTAAGAATTGTCCTATTTCTTCTGACCCGTCCTCTCGCCACTCCATCCTCTGTCTCCTCCTTCACCTCTTCCTCTTTCTGGTCTGCCTCTTTCTCCTCCTTCTCCTATTGCTCTTCCTCTAATACTTTCCAAAGTTGTCCTCCATTGTTGTGCACACCAAAGAGCAAACCTGACTTGTATTTATGGTGATCAAGCTGTGATTTCTGTGTGATCTGATTGTTTACATGTGTATTCACATGTGCATTCTGAGATCAGATGATTGCTAACTGAGTGTGGTATTTCAATGGCAGTGTTTAGCCATTAACACACAAAGGCCTTCAGTTTTGATGATGTGTCTAAGGTAGAGAAGTGGGTTTGGTGTTTTGCAAAACATGCAAGGCTGAAAACGTGTACAGTTGTGCAAGTCTGGGCTGACATTTAGCTCCTTGTGTGTCGAGTTTCAAAATCTGTGCATTATTTTTGGTTTTAGTGTGTAAGCAATCATAGAAAAAAACTAATACATCTTAAAAATAGCAACACAAATTATTTGTCAATGGCAGGCAGTTGGGCTGTTTTTACCAGCATTTAATCTGTAATAGATGCAGAATTGTTGAGGAATATAAAAAGGCTAAATTCAATATACATGAAAGCTTTTTTGGAGAGGGTGTGTCTGCGCTCATCTGCCAACTAAAGCTATGCTGACAGTCATGAGACAAAGTACAGGACAAATTTGGACGCTGACCTGATGAGAAGTCTGAGGAGTTATTTCACTTCACATTCCTGTTCATGTCTGAACTGAATTTAATGGTAATCAGTGCAACAGCTGTTGAGACACTTCAGCCTGAATCAAAGTGGTGGATCGGTCGATGCTGACAGACGCTAAAAGACGTAGAACAAACTATATTTCTTTTTTTTAAATTATTTTTTTATGCTTTTATTGACAGTGCAGTAGAGAGAGACAGGAAATGGGGAGGCAGAGAGAGGGGGAATGACATGCAGCAAAGGGCCGTCCGATTCAGGACTCGAACCAGGGCCGACTGCAGCGAGGACCTTAGCCTCTGCACATCGGGCGGATGCTCAACCAACTGAGCTACTCGACGCCCCACAAACTATATTTCAAGGCTGTGCACATGTTGGGGTCCTGGGTCCCCCTGATTAACAAGAAGAGGCCAAGACAGTTTGGGCCCTGAAATTAAAGTCAACTATAAATAAAGACAACTCTTTTTTTACAAATATATTTTCACCTTCTTTCTCCTCTGCCTATGAGCTGTCCTACCTGAAGCAGGTACTCACAGAGGCTGGTTGGTAGGCTGGTCTAACTGTATCTAACCCGAAGTTAATTTAGTGCACCAGCAAACAGGAAGTGATTTTTGTTTACAGACACTTGGTGAGTGGCAGTTTAATATTTACTCTGCTATTAACTGGCTTGTCTTCCCCAGGTCCTGAGCAGCTGGATGCTAGCTGCTAGCTGCTGACCTTGTTCAGCTGCTGTTTGTTGATGAGCAGGTGGTGAACAGACACTTAAAAAGAGCTGAGCACTGCTGCTGAAAAAAACATGAGATAAATGTGGAGTGAATAATAGTAAAGAGCTAAAGCTAAGGAACTAAAAGAGGCTAAAACATCCCAGAGAGCTGAGGATGTGCACAGCTGGAGAAGATCAGTTACTTTATTAACATCACAGGACAAATGGCAGAAAACTAAATGAGTGCATTGAGGACAGAATTTAGATTAAATAAAATTTTCCCAGCAGACATTTTGGCTTAGGTGTTTTGTTCTTCTCCTGCTGTGACGTCAAAACACTATTGTGCAACTTAGAAAGAAAAGGTGTGAGCTGTTTCAACCTTAAAGTGGTTAAAGTGAAATATGGTCACATCATCCCTCATATGACCACAGACTTCCTCACTGTTCTACATCATGTTACTCAATGAGGCCAGTTTCCTCATACCATCATGAGGCTTTCTGAAATTCATCTTAAATGTGAGTTACTGACCAGCTCTGAAGTTATACCATGAGATTAAAGCAGGTTTTTGGATCAGCACCATCACAGACACCTGCAGATGATACATTTTCAAACGACCTCTCGTCACATGACTCATACAGGAGAGTAAGAGTGTGAGAGACTCATCAGCAGGAGACATTCAACAGAGCAGGCAGACCAAGTGTTGTTACTCATAAACAATGCTGAATGTGTCCAATCAGAAAGAGTTCACATGCACCAACACATTCAACACGTTCTGTTAAAAGGAAGTCGTGCATCATGTTTCCCACAGACAGGAAGAGACAAGGTTACAACAAATGTTTACTCTGTCCTCACACATCACTTTAGAAACTAAATCAGCTGAACAAAAGTTTTTTATAAATACTAAAATCTTAACTCAATGATCAGATGACAGTTCCTTCTTCTGTGAACTAAATAAAATCTACTAAATAAATCAATCATTTTTTCACTCCACCACTGAGTACTGTTACTGGTTCACTGGTGTCTTTTACCTAGGGCTGTGTGTTGTCTGAAATTAAAAGCTGATGAGATAGATAGATGAGATGTTATGTTACTGATACAAAAATGATACTTATCTTTAAGAATATAAACAATGTTTTCAAAACCCAAATCCAAACTTATTCTAATGTAGTAAAATTACATGAACTCTTCAAAGTCAGTATTTTTTCTTTTGTCTTGAAATCCAGAAACATCAACTAAAAACATGTTTGTTTAGCTTTCAGTCCGGCGAGCCTCATCCGCCTCATCCGTAAAAGACAGAATGGATGTTCACAGCCTTCTAACAGACAGATAATATCTGACAACAGATCAGAATCACACTGTTCATGTAAAGGCAGCAGCTGTCAGACACTCCAACTGCTTTTCAACCACAACACACCAGCAGCCAAACCCTGTCTCAGTTTTTCTACAAAGACCCACAGGAGCAGCAGCTCCGTGTATGCAAAGTCTAAAAGACTTAAAGTCAGGATAGCCCCGCCTCTGCTGAATCAGTCTTCCAAAAAAGACTGGAAAAACTGGAAGGCAAGTGGAGGGCAGCAGCAGTAGCAGTCAGAGTGCTAAGTGTCCCTCCTGTTGCTGTGTGGTAACAGTCGGTGCCGTCACAAGTCGATGGTTCCTCTCACTTTGAACTTCTTGGCAGAGCGCTCGCTGGCTCGCTGCTCGAACCTGTTTCCATAGATGTGAGAAACGAAGCCGTTGATCTCCACAGCAAACACACTACTTCTCTTCGGGATCACTAGCACACATCAGGGGGAGGGGGAGAGGAAACACAGGAGAAAACCATCATTAACAATGTCATCAGACTGGGAAGTCCAATGCGTTCTGCATTATACAACCTCATCATCACAACTGCAGCTACATCCACCACTGACCCCAGCAATGTCACACTCAAAGTCACATGGTGCTTCCACTGACTGGTGGTGTATAGACTGTTCAGCTACTGAGGCTGAATATCTGATATCAAACAATATGTGATCACTCACTCACACACAGTAGTTTGGCTGTTGACAGATTTTGATCTGATCCTCTAAGTCAACCTGCACTGGAGTAGGTGAGGAGTTCAGCATAAATTACCATGATGATTTACCCGGTAACAAGTGAACCACCGTCATAGGACTGACAACCAAGAGTTAAACCTGAAATGACCTCGATAACCTCAGATCCTGCTTCGTAGCACAGACCTCAGGACCCTGGACCTGGCTCACCTTAATGCACAGCAGTTGTTTCTAACCAGTGAACCAGTTCCAACTGTGCTGCTCCTCTGACATTTCAAAGTGTCTGAGGTGTTTACAAATGCAAAACAATAATTACAGCATGGTCAGAATCATAAATGTGAATAAAAAGTGTGTGAAGTGGTAATACACAGTTTAGTTTTTTTGTTGTCACTGTTGAAAGCTACAGGTGAGCTTCAGTGAGTGAGACAGGTGCAGCTGTCTGACCTTTCAGTCTGTCCTCCTCGGTGATGATTTTGAAGACATGTTTGAACTCCTGGATCAGAATCCCTGTAGTCCCCACATATGACGGACATTTAGAGCGGACCACTGTGAGAGTGGAAACAACAACACATCATTAGTACAACACCGTCGCAGCTGTCACCGTCTGTGTAAACAAACTTCAGGTACTTGTGAGGTTTCACTGATCAACATGAGAGATCACATGTCACAGTGACATGTCACATTCATTCACTTTGCTGTAAGAATAACTTTGTATCTATGTGTATTTGAATGTGGGAAAGCAATGAAAGTGAAAACATCAGGATAAATGGATTCCAGATGTTCTGAGGAGGACATCTGTTTGAACAATCATGCTTCTTTTTCTTTGTCTCCAGGAAAACTATAAAACTACACATTTTGCTCGATTCTTTCTCCATCATCTGCTTCTGTCTCTCAACTTCAAACGTTCCCACCCACCAAAACATAATCACTATCCAAATTAGTAACATCAGTACTCCTCTAGACGACAACGATGGATGACGTGAGAATCTCTAAGAATAAGGGGGGGGGGGGCCAAGAGGAGGAGACCGGTCACTCTGAGCTCCAGAGAAACTTCCCGAAACCATCACTGCAGCTCTCCACTGATCTGGCCTTTATGTCAGGGAATCCAGACGAAGCTTCTCCTCACTGACAGTTTGTAAAGAAGCAGCTAAAGGACTGTGAGACTGAGAGAAACCAGATTCTCTGGTCTGATGAGACGACGCCTGAACTGTTCGGTCTCAGCTCACAGAGTCATGTCTGGAGGAAACCAGATGTGATGATTAGAAGTTTCTCCATCTCCACTCAGGATCTCTGGAGCTCAGAGTGACCATCTCTACTCCCTGATGTCTCAGTTAGTCCAGGTCCATGTTTTTGAGCCTCAACACAATCCTGTCTCTGAGGTCTGCAGCAGTTCCTTCCTCCTCATGGTTTCTGCTCTGATCTGCATTGTCAACTGTGAGACCTGATATAGACAGGTGTGTGTCTTTCACATCATGGCCAATCAGCTGAGTTTACCAGGTGGACTCCAGTCAAGGTGTAGAAACAGAGATGATCAGGAGAAACGGAGGAACCTGAGCTTAACTTCAAGAGTCATAGCAAAGTGTCTGAAAACTTATGTCAATGTGATATCTCAGTTTTTACTTTTTAATTCATTTGCAAAAATGTTTAAATTCAGTTTTCACTTTGTCACCATGGAGGTATGAGTGTAGACTGATGAGGGAGAAATGAATTTAAACGATTAAAAGAGTCTGATACTTGCTGAGTGTGCCGTGTCACAGAAAATCATGCTCAAGTCCAGGAAACAGAACATCTGGAATCCATTTATCCACTTTCCTCAGTTTCCCGCATTCAAATACACATAGATACAAAGATGTTCTGAGAACACACAACTATAACAAAGTGAACAAATGATAAAACAAATCACTAATCATTAATTTTGCTTTCACAGTGACACACACTGTTCAATGTCCATGACAAGCACTAGAGCTTCAGATGTGTAGCTGTGTGAGGCTGAACGTCATCACACACTGATGTGAACTCTACAGAAAACCAAACCTGTACCTGTGATGATGGCTCCGTGGAAGTCGGCCTTCAGAAGCTTCTGCTGCACAAACTGTGGACTGCTGTAAACACAACACAGATTTATGAGACTGAATGAACACACGTTTTTTTATAAAAAGGTGTCTGAGGTTATTCTAGCAATGTTTTTCCAAAATCATTTCAAATAAGAACAATTCCAAAGCTTGTGAAGTAAATCGAAGTGGAGTATAATAGGTTCTATTAAAAATGTTAAACTGTATTTGTCTATGGTTAGTCGAGACCAATACAGTTTGAAATATTTTGAGGATATTACACCAATCACCATTATTGTAGCTGTATTGGAGATCTGTTTTCCATTCATTCTTTTATCAATCTTATCGTAGACTGGCCAGACTGTATTTAAAATAACATAAATAGAAGATATCAAGCCTTCTGTTGTGAAGTCTTCACTAATCAGGAGCTTTTGAAATGGGGATTCCGGTCAGATTTGTGGAAAATCTGTGCAGCTGTGAATCCAGTGTCTAACCTGGAAGTGTCTGAATAAACTATGATCTGAAAGATTAAATTTTCCTTTAGCTGTTGAAAATTGGTGAAGATGTCTTGAGTATATAAATCTTTTTGCCATTATAAACACCGTTTTTTAAAGTTCCATCTGCTATCAGATAAGGGATATTAGGGATGTCCCATAAGGGAGAAAAACATACTTTAGTTAAAGAGGAACATTAGTGTTCACACATGTGGAAACTGGTTTACCATGTTGGTTTCAGGCCACCGCAAAGGTCAATGATGTACTGTCTCCAGAGTTCATGCAGAGACAGGAAGAGCTTGTATCTACGATGATAATGATACAAAAAGTGAAGAGAGGAGAGAGGAGGAGCACATGAGTACATGGGAAAAGTTTGATGACACAGCAAGTGTCCCATCCCTCAGATCCCTGACCGACCTCTGGTGCTCAGGCTTGATCTGGAAGATCTTCAGCGCCCTCTTCTGGCAAGCATTCAGGCCTTTAGCTTTCTTGCTGCTCCTCTTCACCTTGTCCTTCTTGGGCCTGGAGTAGCCCAGGACCACAGCCTTGTGGCTCAGCATGGTCTTCAGGTCATGACGTGTGTGGTGCTGGATGCTGCTCTTCAGGAAGGCCTGGGTGAAGGCCTCAGCCTTAGAGCTGCTCTGAGACTAAGACAGAGTTGTGACAGATAGACTTGGTGAAGCAGGATCTTTAACAGTTTAACACTAAACTTAACGGACTCTCTGCAGGTCATTGTATTTATGCTGAACATGATGAAGGTCAAATCTGAAAAGATTATTTTCTAAATTACTTTGATTGTTTTGCTGTTAATATTCAAAATTAAATGAAAAATGTCTGCACAACACGACTGGACGCTGCAGGAGAGACAATGTATCTGAGTTACACAGTTCCACTGCTCAGAAGTATCTGCTCACCTCAACACCAAGAACCTTCACCAGGTCACCAGGAAGCTTGGCTCGAACAAGAGCTTCAGCTGAAAGGAAACAAACAAAACCAGTGAAACACAAAACCTGATCAACTCACTGAGGCAGGCACTGTGCAGTCATCATGTGACTCACTGATCATATGATTTATTAACACTAAAATTATTGTTTACAGGTCTAAATGAATAATTTACTCCTCAAATTGAAAGATGCTCTTTCAATACTGAAACCTGGATATTGTATCAGCACAAGCACAAGTGGAGGATGACAGAGGCAGCAGACCTCTCTCATGAGCTTGGGTAATACCCACAATTCCAGCCACATGCCAAGGTACAAAATACAGGAAGCAAAGCATTTTAATCAGATCACCATGGTAACCAATGCTGCATGGAGCTAACATGCTCTGATTAACTGCAGCAGATCAGACTCTGTCAACAGCCTGACTGCTGATCAATCACTGAGTAAACAGAGTTTACAATAAAGTGATGAATAATAAAGATCAATAGATATTTTCATTGATCAGTGTAATCGGCTTTCTGTTGCAGAATTTCCCGTTTCCAACAACAAACTGGAGGAAAGTTTACCACCGAATACCAGTTAAGGACAGTTAGATGACTGTGTAAGAACCAGAGACAGCCGAACACACAGACACACCTCACTCACACTTCGACTTCGTTCCTGCACGTCCTTTACACCGTTACTTTACTTCCGTGTTCCATAATCACACTCACCGTCCATTAGTCCGTGTTTGTGGATTTGCCGAAGAAGACGTGATGAATTCAGCCTTGTCTCTGGTGAAGGAAAACACAGAGATCAACCCAAGAGACCACGCTCGCGACACACGTCGGTTGGTTAATGTTAGGGTATAAGCATGGATGTATTATAAGACCATCAGAGGCAGGGTAGGGTCTTATTTCCTCTTCCCTTCTACTGAGGAGTATCCTTCACTCTGGCGGTGCTGCCACCTGCTGTCAGCACCACGCACCACAGGCCATTAGAGAGACGAATAATCACATTTCCCGCACTATGGTCAGATTACAGTTTTATGCGATTGCTTACACACTAAAAGTGAATGCTTTGACCAAAACATCAGAAACCTTAGCTTTTGAAACCATGCCTTAAACAAAGCAACCAAAAGTACATACATATACATATTTTCTACTTTACACTTTGTTTTCAATTCTACAGCACACACATGAAAAAACACTACACACTTTTTCTTACATCAGACACTTCGGTCAAGACTTAAATCTTACAATCACTGGGAAAACACTTATTTTTCAATCTGGAAAAAACGCACCTGAAATTGGCATCACCCACATACACAGCTGAAAACACTCAGTCTGAGCCTTAGTGCTACAGACAAAGCTCAGGTGAGCTTCTGTGAAAACTTTGCAAATATGGAAGTAGTGAGAGCGAGAGGAAAAGGAGGAGGAAGACAGAGAAGGTGGAAGATGAGGACAAGGACAAAGAAAATTTCACTGTTTTGTAAAAACCTGTTCTGGTAAAATGAGCTGTTTTCTGAATTTTGCCTATTCATGTGTTGTGTGAAGCCTGTATGACAACATTGAAAAGATGAACAAAGTTATAAAGACAGCAGTCTTACAGTTTTTTTCAGTTGCTAACTCACTAAAATGAGACACAAAGCAAAATTATTGAAACTGACACGCATAGAGCAAAACCTCAGCTCACTTTTCCAAAACTCTGAACACATTTTCACCTTTGCACCCAAATTGCAATTCAACATGACTCTTTTGGCAATACACTGCACACAGTTCTCTATGTAAAACACGGGAATCTGACTTAAAGTCATTTATTTGCAATTTCAAAACACCAAAGTGTTCAAATTGCCACACCCAGGGACCAGTTGATGAATACACATGCCACATGGCCAAACACCTGCAACAACAACTGCTTACAGTTTTTCCCCAATTTATACACAAAAAATGGAACTATGCACAAAATTCTGAAAACTTGAAGCTCATGTATCAACTACATGACTCCAAACTGCTAAACTCTTAGCACAATTCCATTGTCGGTTCCAAATGTCTTGTCTTGAATCAACACCAGCTGAGGATGAAACAGGTACAGTATATTGTGTTCCATTTGAGCGCAACTCTGACCGAGTGAAGGAGCAACGATACCAATATGTGCATGTGACTATAGCATCCTCTCAGTACTCTGTAAAGACATTTCACTATGTACCTCAGTGTTCCTGTATGTAGGCCTTTTGTCTGATATGGTAATGCTCCCTTTTTTAGAGAGTGTTTGAACTTGATGCCATTTCCCCCCCCGCTGCTTGGCCAGGGAGAACATCGCAGCCATTGTGGATGAGGTCCTCTGGCCTGACCAGGATCAGAGGAGGGATGCAGAGTGATCTGTTGTCAGTCCAGCGTAACACTTTCTATTGCAGTAGCAAATACAAATTTCTAATACTACATAAAGTAGGTAACATTTGCGTTGCATATACATGTAGTAGTGTAAATGCTATTTGGGGACACAAAACCCTACACTTCACCAAAATGAGAAAAAGGAAACTTATTTCCACACACTTGGTTGCATTTGAATATGTAACATGGCCTCATAATGCCAAAACATACATGAACACTTTTGGTGGTAGTGTTTTGAATTTATCACAGCAGTGTTTATTTGATGCTCTGTATGACATAAGCATATAATAGCTGTGTGTATTGCTTCGGTGGAAGGAATCAGTTTCGAGAAGAGAGAACATGGTTTTGAGTGCTGTGTTTTATTTTGCAAGAGATTTGTGGAGTTTTGATTTGAAAGTAGTTAACCCTTTTCAGTTTGGGTTTAGAGTTCTGAGAAATTGAGCCACAGTTTCTGGAAATGTGTGTAGCAGACATACCTGGCCTGGCATCAGTCACAAGCCATTAAAGAAGTTTATTGTAAGGACCTGCATAGTTACAGACCCAAAATTGACACTTTGTTACTCTTTCCACCATCAAACTATCAAATAATGAGACACGGCCTCCGGGAGAATCCACCTAGATCCCGCTACTCCAGGGTTACCACGGCAACCACAGCCACCTGGGTTCCAGCCAAGGGTCTACAGCACAACTCACAGTAGGCTGGTCTGAACACTCTGCGTGTGACTGGATTGATGCCAAAATATAGTAATATTTAATGACCAAATCTCATTCGCCATCAGCATCAAGAGATTGAACTCCAGCCAGGCCCGCTGGTCCTTATTCTTCACTCAGTTCAACTTCAACCTCTCCTACTGTCAAGGGTCCCGCAACGTCAAGCCTGACGATCTGTCCCAGCAGTTCCAGAAGGTGGAGGATTCTGCTGAGGGGTCTGCCACCATCCTTCCTTCTCCCTGTGTCATCGCCACCCTGACCTGGGAACTGAGAGAGAGTGAGACTCGCTACAGAGGGTCAACCTGGTCCCAGCGCCTGCCCTCCTAATCGCCTGTACGTCCTGCAAGCCCTGAGGTCGGAGGTTCTCCAATGGGCCCACACTTCCAAACTCTCCTGCCATCCGGGTTCCCAGCGAACTCAAGACATCCTCCTCCAACACTTCTGGTGGGCCACCCTGAAGGAGGACACCCGCGATTTTGTCAAAGCCTGCTCTGTCTGCAACCAGCATAAACCCTCCCATCAGGCTCTGGTGGGACTCCTACAGCTTCTCCCAGTCCCACATCATCCACGGTCACATGTCTCCTTGGACTTTGTCACGGGTCTTCCTCCTTTCAATGGCAACACGGTCATCCTCACTGTGGTCAACTGCAAGATGGCCCACTTCGGGTCCCTGCCCAAGCTGCCATCAGCCAAAGAGACTGCTCAGCTGGTCCTGCTCCACGTCTTCCACCTGCATGGTCTCCGTATCGATGTGGTGTCCAACCAGGGGCCCCAGTTCTCCTCGGATTTTTGGAGTGAGTTTTGCAGCCTGATGGGAGCTACTGCCAGTCTGTCCTCCGGGTTCCATCCCCAGTCTAACAGGCAGATAGAGCGGAAGAACCGGGAGATGGAGATGGCCCTTCACAGCATGGTCTCCCGGAGTCCATCCTCCTGGTCACAGCAGCTCCTATGGGTGGAGTATGCCCACAACTTGCCTGAGGATGGTTAGTTTGGGTGGTTTGTGCTCCTTCTCTCCTTCAGCTTCTTCCACCTCTCCAGATCTGGGTGTACCAGGGACTCAAGAGCAGCCGTCCTCCTCTCAGCATAAAAGGTGGTGGCTTGGCTGGCTGGTCTGGCTGGTCTTTTGCTGGTGGACCAGTCAGTAGCTGGTGTGGACATAGCTGAAGTGTAAAATTATCAATGTATGAGAAGAGTGAAATTCATTAAGTCAGCAATCTTGTAGCCACTTAAAACAACATGTTTAAAAGACACTAATTCACATTAATATCAGGACAGAATAACAGACCTCTACTGTATTACAGTGTAATACTCCCAGCTGACGCTCGCCCCGCCTGTTGTTTGATGGCAGTCTTTCAGCCTTTTGTAAGTGGTGAGAATATTTCCACCTTCTTCCTCATTTGCTCTGCTGACAGGTTGTGTCCTTTTTGCATAAAGTCATGATGGACCTCAGGCCTGTGGAGCAGGAAGGTGGTGGCCGGACTACCACAACTGGTGTCAGGGGTCCAGGTGGTCTGGGAGCAGGGCTGGGGCCTGTGGAGCAGGAAGGTGCCAACAAAATGAAAATGACCATGATAGAGTTATAGCACAGGATAACATGAATTATTTTAATTGTATCTATTATATGATTATAGGAATCATTGTAAATATTGTACTACCATTTCACATTATATTCTCATTTGTGTTTTTTACAGATACTATACCTGGCTGGGACTCCTGCAAAGTGTCTTGCACAGCACTGGGGCCTGTGGAACAAGAAGCCAGTGGCAGAATGAAAACAGAAGACAGAATAGAACATGGAAGTGTTATAGCATAGGCCTAACATGAATTACTTCAAATTGTCTTGATGTTAAATAAAAATGGTTATAAAGGGGCCAAGAAGTCTTTCTCTGAAGGAAATCCTCCAAAGAAGTAGTGTCACTAAACTGTGACCAAAAGAGTTAGATTTTTTTTTTGCAAACAAATTATAATTATACAAAGGCCCAAGTCCGGTTCATGTCTTGGTTTTTGGACCATGTTTCTCAAAAACAGAAATAGCATGTTGTAAATATCTCTTTATCATTTGTCAATTATACATATGTTCATTAATGTGTCCTTGCAGGTTTTGTTCATGAAGTACCGGCATAGATTAATGAAGCTGCCCAGTACAATCACAGTCTCCCTCTGTTGGCCATTGAGCACCTTTACAAGAGCATTTGGGGATCTGATCACCTTACTCAAAACACTTCAATGGTAGTAGTGGAAAAGTTGTTGAAGGGGGTATATAATACTTACACACTTCTGTTTGATTCTGAACATACTTTGCTTAATAATAGCCTACTGTGCTTGTTGAGCAAGGTAGGCCATAATTAAACATTTCATAACATTCATAAGCCATTATCATTTAATATTTAATGATCTTACTACAACAGCAAATACTTTGTACACTTTTCTACTTTGGACATGATAAAATAACCACGTGAGTTTGATGAAGGTGACTTAGTGATGGTTTGTGTCATGTCCATGAAGAAACGTTAAGTTATATTTTGCTTTGTCTGTCTCGTGAGTTCTTGTTTTATTTTGAAAACCTAACTCTCCTCTCGTTTCAGGTAACTTCCTCCTTTCCCTTGTGTGTTTCCCACTGGTCTGATTGTCTACCCCGCCCTGATTGTTTCCACCTGTTTCCCATTACCTTGTGTGTGTGTATATAGTCTGCGTTTCCCTTTGTCCTGTGCCAGTTCGTTTTATGTTGTTGTCAGAGAACCACGCCAGCCATGTTATCCCAAGTCGGGTTTTTAATTCTGTGTTATGTTTTTGCC